ATTGGCGAAGCCAGGAATACATAGGCACTACAAGGCGATCTCCCATTATTGCATTCCTAACGCCGCAATGATTGCCCCAACCAGAAAGAAAATTCAATTTTCTACAACCTCAAACGACTCGTCTTTTTTTTTTACCGTCGGCCATTATGTTTGTTGACATATCGGGGGCTTGGGAACACGGTCTGATTGTCCTATAATTCGTCCTAATCTGTGGATTCGTTTAATTCTTTAAGTTAATTCGTCAGACGAGGAGAGATTTTGAAAGGAGATGTGCGAAATGCACAAGTCCTATATGTTGTTCATATAGTTTACTTAATGACAATCTTTACCTTTTTCCACCCGTGATATTTGGAAAGACCCAAAATAAAATCTTTTTGGGGATCAAATGAATATGACATGAAGGAGACTTAGTATGACTTCGCATATTAAAATTACTGCTTACATCAACAGTCATCTTGTAATTTGATATGATTATTTAATTATCGCTAATGGAAGCCCAACTTTGTTAAACGTTTCCAAGCAAGTTGGACGTCATCTATAAATTGCTCCATTGATCAGCACTTCGGTGTTGATCTCTCTAGAAAGGTGCCAATGAATACAAATTAATGAACAGTTTGTGCAGAATGTCAGCTTTAATCTGGCATCTGAAAATTAAAAAAAAAATATGATGCTCGTATTTCAAGCCAGGAACGGGCCGACACACGATATCGGTGCTTAATCGCCCCGTTAAAGATCACCCACTTGTACGGGTGTAATAAATCCTTCCGCCTGCCATTTTCCATCGTAAATTTCCCACTACTAACTGGATGTGACACTCTCAAGCTGCGGTTTTCCTTTTTCTCCCGCCCATTTTTTTCTTTTCTTTTATACTCATCACTTTCCCGCGCCATTTCCTCGTCAGTTTTGGCGGGCTTTTCTCTCTCTCTCTCTCCCAGTATGGCTTTCTCCCTACATCCTTCCGCTGTGTAAAGCAAACCCACTCGTCTCTTGGGCACCGTCATCTTTAGAGTGAAGTGCCGTTCTCCAATGATTAAACAGGCGTGACGAGACAAGAGCAGAACGGGCGATAACACCTCTAATGGCCGGGCGGCTTGGGAGCGATATATGCATTTACCACAGCGCTGGTTGTGAGACTTCGGGTTGGTTAACTCTACATGCCTGAGAAGTTTAAAGTGAGCTTTCTTAAGAAAAAGAAATGAGATGGCTATTGTTTTTTTTAATTGCAATTTCTTTAAAAAAGAATAAAGCCTTTTATACTTTGACAAAACTGACATCCTTTTATTTGAGCTGGTCAAATTGTAATTGATTTAATTGATGTAGCTGATTTAATTGATTATTCTGGTCAAATTTTCATTGATTTAATTGATAAATCTAGTTTTTTATTATTCATTTGGAATATTATGCTTTGTTTTCTGGGATGCTCTTTCTGGGCAGGTTCGTGGAAAACTGCAATTAACTGAAAAGCACATCGGCAGTTTCAATTTCTTAAAATTTACTTTCAGCTTATTCCGTCTGAATTATACGACATGCATGTATGCTGCTGCTGTACCTAAACGTCAGTTACAGCACGCTTCATACGCAACACTAACTTAATAATATTAAAATAAATCACTGATAAAATATTAAGTGGCTGAAGAAATTAGATACGTTGGTGATGTTGAAATCAGGTATAACTTCCCTTTAACTAAGATGCACAGATCTCTCGACTTTTTTCTCCCCTGCCCTCCGTCTTCACAGAGAGCCTTTCATCCGACGGCAGGGTCGGGTTTTGTTATGTTGGAGACAGGGAGACAGAAGAAGGGGGAAACGATGATGGAGGAACGGGAAAAGAGGGGAAATGTATTAGTCACATCAGGACACGGTTGGTTGGTGGCTTCTTGTTGCGGGTTCGCCTGAGTTGACAGTCGTTCTACACCTGAGGGTGTGCTGAGGCCCTCTACTCCATGAAATATTCATGGGCGTTTGCTGGGGAAGTCAATCGCCCGTGAAGAGTGGGGACGCTTGGACTGGGCCGCCTGCGGGTGTGTAGCTCCCTCTGAGAGGCTCCTAATGTACCGAAGTAGAGAGGGGATGGGGTGAGGGGGGGGGGGGTGAGATGGACAAACTAGCTCCTTACTCGGTGTGCTCAGCACGGTGGGAGAAAAGTACTTGCCCCCTCCACGAACAGAAGAAGAGAACACAAGGAGGGAAGACGGAGATGATACATAAGACTGGAGGACAGGAAAAGAACTATGCCCTTTTGCCTTCAGGGCTGAAGATATAGATATTAAACATGTTTTTGCCACAGCGGTAATGTGGTGGAGGCAGAGGTTCATATAAAGAGAGAAGGACTGAGGGTAGGGAAATATCGTTTGAGGGAAAGGGTTTGATTACGACAGATGAAGTGCATAACCAATTGAATAAACATGATGCTTTGACTTAATAAGGACGGGGGCGTTTCTGATGAAGTGAGCGTAAGGGGGGAAAAGGCGAGGCAAACCACGAGAACAACCCAAAAAAAACTTAGGAAAGGTTCAACGAACATGCCTGGCTGAAACTTAGTTTGCCTGGGGCTGTTGATTAGAAATGCTTTTAGTAGTTTTGAAAGGTGCTGTATAAAGTTTAACCCACGGGCTTTCTTCTGTAGTAATGGCATGTTTGGATTTTACTGTACCTTGTATATTGCGTGTGTTTGGGCGTCGTCTGCAATCAAATAATCAGCACGGGTTTATGTTTTTCAGGGAGATATTATCGAGTAGAGTTATTTTATGTTTGGTGTCTTAAGTTTCCGCAAAAGAACATTAAGTCTTTCCTGTCTTTAAACTGTAAAAACAATTCAGTTAAATTACAGGTAAAGGTTTTCTAAAAGTTCAGTTATATTAATCTTTCAGTCAGCAGGAACGTTCCGCTAAGTCAGTCACATTTTGGGTCCTTACTTTGTAAAATGGTAAATGTAAAACTTACGAAACAAACATGTACAAGTGTCGCATCTTAGCCTTTTGTTATCCTCCGAAATGTATTAACATCTCAAAAGAGCCCGCGGAACAAATTTCAGCCCCAGGGTTTTTCTTTATTTCTCCTTCCAGGGTCGGCGATTTCAACCAAGAACCTGCCGGTTTATGTTCAATTCTAGTTGAGTTATTTGCGTCAGTGCGATTGCGCCCAGAACGCGTGACGGAGGAATTCCCCTCCCCATTGGCCTATAGAGCCTCAGTTCTGCATGCCCTCGGTTGCCGCAGCTGTCCAATCTCGCTGGAGGGCGATTCACGGGCAGAGGCACTCTCACCGCGCTCTCGCTCGAATCTGTGGGCACTCGAGTGTGTGAAGATCTAATCAAAGACAGTACCTGCATCCAACTTAACTTTGTGGAGTTGGCACTTCTGTCTTTTTTTTTACCAGTAAATGGGGAAATTCGAAGGGTAGAAAGTCCAAGTCATGCCAACGTGGTCTCCTTTGTCTTAATACTCGTAAGAAAATGAGCTCAGCGTTATGGGAAAATATTTTTGCATGATCTCAATAATTGTTCGCTCATATTTTAACAAAATGAAACATTCATTACAAAAATGTTTGCAACATATTGATTTCATACGTATCTCACACACATTAAATAGTGGTATCAATTACCATTTTAATGCCTCATTTCCCAAATAATGGCCCAACTCAATAAACAGTATAATCAATATTTTCTTTTAAAAAAACGATTGTATGGATTCGCATGCAGCCCTCTCGTGGCGACTTGAAAACAAGTTTAAACAATTTGCAAGGAGCCAAAAGGCTTCCGGTTTCCTGCGACGGAATGCAAACATTTTGGATGTATGATAACTGGGCTGTTGGAGCCCTCTAGAGGCGAGAATGCCTGGGAGAGCAGCGAACAATAATTGCAGTCGCATAGTCAATCGTAAACTACACGTCGCGTGCATGGTTTATGTTTTGATTGGTAGTTTAGAAAATGGCTGTACACTTATTTTTCTCGAAAAAAAAAAGAAGTGCTATGGGTCAAACAGGGATCATGATCAGGTTTCAAGTCCGGAATCTCCTACTCGATACATCTACATGTCATGGCACTGTGTTTAGATTTCATCACATGGAGTACCAAGTAGATTTCATCTCTCACTCTACGACTTGGTGTAACCCTCGTCTCTCCCGGATGCTACTTTAGGAAAAGTACATTTTTTTCTCCGAGACCCTCACTCTCTTTGCTTTTCCCTTTTGCTCTGACTCGGCGTATGTTTGCCCAACGACGGTCAATGAATCTAATGGAAGCAATGTGTCAACACCCAAACCTGTCTCGTACGGGCACCAGAAAGAGAAAAAAACCTCCAAGCCTCTCCTCCGACTGGTAAACTTTGCCGCGCTGAAATGAAAAAAAGACTAACCACTTCAGCGGAGAGGAGTTAGGATGAGGTAGATATCAGACAGGGGCGCACGGCAAATGCGCTGACTGTTATGCACGGCCAGGCCTACTACGTGCGAGCGGGCGTACACTTGATACCCTACCGGCAGATTGCTCCGCACGCTTCCCTTCTTGCGTTACGCACCCCCATCCTTTCACGCCAAAACTCCGGTGATGTGCGTGTATAGATCCGGCCGATGGGTTTACACTAAAGGGGGAAAATCGGGAATGTTTTAGGGTAATTGATGAGCAGTTTTCTATGCACTGTCAAGCGACCCGGTCTGTGTAAATACATTTGGATGAATGGGGTTTTTTGAGGGGGTATAAGGAAGTCGTTGGGCAAATCTTATCAGTAGTACTACCCCAAGTGATGTAGGCCTACATGCTCCATAACAAAACAAATTCCCATGTTTGCAACATTGTTTTAAAATAATCAATAGCTCTCACATCTGTTTGTTTATGTGATAATAGTATGTTATGTGTTAGAGTCCTTAAACGCGATGTGGTTTACGGATCATTTTTCTGTTTGCCTAAGCGATGTTTTTCTCAGGCGATTTGTGTTTTTTTGTTATTCCATAATAATATCCTCTGTACGATTTTCTCGGGGCAAAACGGAATCTCACAAATATTGAAGCACACTTTTATTTCTTTCGTTCAGATTTGAACAGAAATCTTGCCAGATGCACATCAGTCCATTATTGCGCGCATGATTCAGCAAACCTTCAGCGGCTTAATCACTATAGAGCAACACTGAAAACTTCCCCCAAAGGAGGAAAAACATCGATAATTATGGGCCGAAATAATTCAGCTAAAATAACATCCTCTCATTTCCTCTCGTCAGCGCGTAGACGCGGTGACCTTGACTCAATCTCTCTCCTCGTCATGTTTCCAATTCACAAACCAAAAACTCTATATCCAACTCCGGGCTGTTTTTATTCAACCCTTTTTTCCCCGCCTGGTCTTTTGCATTGATGCATCGTCTCCACAGACTCAAGGAAACCCGCAGTGACGCCGCGGTACTGAGGCGCCGCCGCCATGACAGAGCCCCGTGGAGAGACAGTCAGGGGAGGGCAGATACAAGGAGAAATAAAAAAGGGGAAGGGAAGAAAGAAGACTCGTCCCAATCGTGCTGCCTCAATGTTTGCGAATCCATCGCAGTAATTAATGACCTCATCTGGCAAGTAACTGCGCGGTGTCCCCCCTTCCATCACGTCACATGGAACATCACCGGTGCGCCGAGTTTTCCTTCAATTCTGCCTGGATTCATCTTCTCCGCTCCGCTGTGTCATGCACACCCATGTATTTAATATCCATTTTCATTTTCTTCGGTTTTGTATCAACGCCGGACGCTCCGCGTATAAATCAACACGGTTCTCGGTGCTGTCAGGTTGGCGATAGTTGCACGCACATACCGATTAAGTCTGTACGTTCCAATACCTGCAAGGGGAGAAATTTTAATTTGTAAATGTAGTCATAACATTAGTCTGCTCCTGGTGTTATAATGCAGTGCAATCAGGGTCTCAACACTTCAAATATTGAGATGTTTTGAATGTATGTGACTCATGTGCTTTTCAATATAAACACGATTGAGTTGAAAACAGTCCAGCTTGCAGTTAGCTGACCAAACTTGCAGTAAGCTTTAAAATTAGCAACGGACTCATTGAAATCCAACCAATTTATAAGTCAATGATTTTAAAAATAAATATTGTTGTGGGAGCCACGATACTACCGTTTTTTCTTTGGCCTTATTTGGACATTCTACGTGTGTGTCATTTTTTAAATTAAGAATTTAGATTTGCCAAATCAATGAAATATTCAGCTGATATGCTCAAACCTAATGTTGAAAATCGTGATTAAAAAATCAGATATTATTATACATAATTATGCGGTAATTTTTTTTTTTTTTTAATTTATACTTTCTAGATCGGCACAATCGCTTTGGAAATGTTAGTCGTGAATTGTTTTAATATCATGAATGAAAATGACAAGTACACATGCATAATTAGACACTTCACTTACATCTGGGATATTTTATTGTTTCTTTTCATTTTGCATTCTAATTGTACTTCTTTTATATCATTCGGGTTTTTTCCGCGAAGATGCGGAAAATACAGAAAATCGGATACAATTTTGAATTTTGAGACAAGCAAGCGTTGTATTGTCTCTATCTGCATAATCAGCAAAGTATTACACACATACTTTGATATTCATTTTTTCTTCTCAACTATACCGCTGGTATAACGTATGATACAAGCTACACCAACTGCTAGCTTTCCAGTTGCTGTAAGTGATCAAGTGCATGGTACCAATTGTGCATTTTTAAAACCTGACATTAAACACGATTTTTATGTCCACCTTAACTTACTGCACGTCACGCGTGCTCATTTCTATAATCCATCGGTAGGGGGCGGCAGATGGGGGGTCTTCATTGTTTAGCTGCGATACCCCTGCTCTCTGGGCACGTTTGCGGACGAGGAGAGAAATATGGAAGAATCCCCATGGGAAGCGCCCCCAATCAAGTTACACATGTCACACCAATGGCATGTATCTAGTCAACACACACACCACACCATACACACCGTGACAATGGGAGTCCACTCGGCATCACGTGACCAGGCTAGCCCCTCACCGACAAACTGTCCCATCATTCTATCATTCTCTCTGCTCCTGGTTCGTTCGTTCGCTCCCCCCTCACTGCCAGCCTCAATCGCCCCAGTGATGATGTACGTCTGCATATAAGTGCAATACCTTAATCAGTGTGTATGATTTCGCCGTGATTAAAACGCGCCCCTGCAATTTTGCTAAGTGTATTAAATTGTGATTACTTACTCAACCGCGTTCAATGCGCTGGCAGGGCCCGCTCCGGACGCTCTTTAGTGGTTAGGGGAGGCGATATAGTACGGGACTCGCGGCCAACTGATTGACTGAGTCAACTGGGGGAAACAGACAAGACTAAGATAACGCACGTATCTGGTTGGGGCTAGACACTCAAAGTTTCCCTAAGCGATCGGCATAAACAGGCGATACCAGAGAAATAAAAAAGCAGCAGCATTTCATTCAAGTTGACAATTACATTCCATGTGGACAGTTGATGAGCACCAGTCAGCAACACACTCACACATAATACACTCTGTCTATCCCTTGTACACACACTCATCTACCACGAGTCGGTTCTATTCCATCGATGTTTTCAGTTATCAAGTTATAAGGCATAAGTAGCCCGGACGCGCCCGGACGTTCAGCACTCGCTGACCTCTTTGTCAGACGTGTCACAACTCGGCACAGGAGAAAGGCGCATCTCTCGCCTCATCTTATTAGATCATCGTAGTCACTCCATCATTCCATCTCCCCCTGACTTCACTGTCTTTGCGTCTCTTCGTCCCCAAGCCGGGCTAACTCGCTGAAGAAGGAGAGGAAGAAGAAGAAGAAGACGACCACCAAGAAACAGAGGTCGAACTATCTGTACCATACAGGATGGATTACTCCTCGTATTTGGGCCAAAACGCGTACGAGTCCTGCCTGAGTGGGGTAGAGGGCACCGGACTGGGCATCCAGACCTCTTATGGGGAGTTTGCTGGTGCCGTGAGCTCCCAGCCAAGTCAGGGTTACCCCTACAGCAGTCTACGCCCTTCGGTCAGCTATGGTAGCGGTGCAGGTGGCATGCCTGGTACATGTAATCTAGCCTCAATGATGGACCACCAGCAGGTCCCTCAATGCTCCCCATACTCAGGAGGTGAGTTTTTTTATCAACTTTTTAATACTTTCGGACAGTTAAACTTCATATTTTGGGTGCAGTTCTGTTCTTCCCCTTACAGGCGAGCTTTACTTCACTGACAACTTGCAATTCTATCAAGAAGCTTTATAACGTGTTGGACTCTGTTGCCCCCTCAAACTGATGAAATTAGCGGTGTATATTGGTGTCGCGGCGCGGCAATCTATCGCCGGTTAGGTAACTCCAATACGGTTGCTTCAGCTAGCCAGCGTCCAAATTCTATAAGAAAATGTTCCGGCTGAGAGAGAGAGAAGAGGGGCTCCCTTAATTTGATCAATTTACCGGGTTTTGTTTTCCGAGTGCTTTAGTGTCATTTATGATCGTTCATTATGTGATTTGCCCGGCGTGCTTATTCAATTGCACTGCCGAATTATTGGTAATGTCGTTAACGGCTCGGAATGTTTTGCCAAATGACATTAAGCAGTTTACTCCCTGACGCCGTCTAATTGTGCAGATTCACCGGGCCAAATTTGCTGAAATTAAAAAGTAAACTAATTGGTAGGCCGTAGCTTGGGTTTATTACCTTGTAACTTCCTGGCCGGCGCATCAAGTCACGTCGAGCTCAGTCCAACGGCAAGCAGGCCATTTGTACTCACTCTCTTCCCGGGAAATTTCGCACGTTTTTCTCAAACCATCGCTCTCTGAACTGAGTTTCTGATCAAGAAATAAAAGGTAGGCGTTACTTTTTCTGTAAGTTCGAAACCACGCTGATTTCTCTATTGGTAACATTATTTTCAGAAGTCAATGATAATAGCAATCGAATACGACCCTCGTCTTAAAGTCGTACAATTCTATAAAATGTATTTCAGGAGAAGATGAATTTCAGCTCGTTTTCTTAATTTACTTGAAAACGATTGAACAATTCAATTTAGAAAAACATATCCTAATGTACATTGTATATCGGTTTTGCATGGTGACATTGCATTCAAATATAAGTATTTACATAGATGAAACAAATTTAATAACAAAATAATCATGTTTACATAAAATGTTTACAATTTCGGCACTCTTCGCCATATGCTTTGTTAATTGGTACACGACTGTTTTTGTGTGTGTGTTTCAAACAGGAGTATTATTTAGAGAGCATTATGAACATGCCTTTTCTTTTTAAGCGCGCGTTGGTTACAGTCCCATGTAAACTATGTACAACTATTTCGATTTTTTGCGTGGACCGTACCGGCGGTACCCCCCTGGGACAGCCTAATATTCTTTAAACTAATTTCTGATGTTGCCTGCTCGATGTTATCGCTGGCGGTCTGTCATCAATTCAGGGATGTGTCGACGTAATGGTTAACTCGTTAACTCGGGGCCCGATAGTCCGTCACGGCTCGTTGTTTAGAAGGGGGGCCCAGGGACGCTAGGTCCCCCATCCATCATTCGGCAGCGGCCCGCTACTGTCAACGGGCAGGGCACGGGGAGAAAAGGTTGATATTTACCCGCGCACTCGAGTCGTTGCATGAGACACCATTTCCGCGGCACTCGGAAACCGCTGCTCGAGTGTGATCTCTCCCGTCGAGTGCGGGGGACTTGTACCTCCTTCCCGCTGTCTGTCATTTTCTTGTTTCGCGGTTTTTTAGTCGTCCCCTTTATTTCCTGTTCTCACATAATTTCCCTTCTGGTAAATCTTGCCCCCTTTTTCCCTTATAGCAATTTAATGTGTTACCGGTACTTGACCTCCGTTCGGTTTTGACGGTACATTTTTAAAAATCCACCGTTTTATGTTATTTTTAAGTTTGCATTATTTTTGATATTAATAAGCACGTTGAAGGTTAAAACAAGGTATAGTAGATGAAGAATTACTTTTCATATGTAGGCCTAATTTCTTCACACGGGCAGTTAAAACGATAAACAAATTACTACACGTGTACACGCAACCCCGATATTTCTCTTAACTAAATCGTTACTATAACGACACCTGAAAATGACAGAATTCAAGGTTTAAAATTGTGAAATCCTTTAAAATATAGTTATTGTCACTATCTTATTATTTAAAGTGTGCAAAAGAAACTTGAAGGTTCAGTCTGCATAGCATGTGATGGAGTAAACTGGGAACATTGTGAGTGAGCAGTGATTACATGTAGCGGTACATTATTTCTCGCTGTCTCGCCTATCGATCGAGAAAAAAAACATCATGTTGGCTAAATTATGCATAGAGATTTAATGCATAGACTCGGTGGATTAGTCAATTCATCTTGACCATTGTGGCGGTATTAGCTTTGGGGGATTATTATGTTGCATGCCAGCCAATCGATTCATTCAGCTTCTGTCTCCATTGTACACCCAACGCCAATCTGAAAATTGCCATTACACCAATTCATCTTTTACACTTTCCTCCTCTTTTTTGGTAATAAAGCTGTTTTTTTTTTTCTTCCCGTATTCCCGTAGCCGGCTGTTCGTCGGTAAGCCAATACCTCCCTCCCGTTTTATTCCTAATACCCCGGCCGCAAGTTTCTTAACCAACGCGCTTAAATAAAACACCAGTTTGTCTGCCCGCGCACTCGAGTGTACCGTTACAAAAGTATTCCGCGCGAATGAGCGCCGGACACGGGCAGGAACACGATACCGGGGAGACGGCGCGTTGGCCGGCCCTGCGGGACCCGCTGCCGCGCGCTTCCAACTCCCAACTGCGTCAAGATTTCGGCACATTTTTTCCCCTCTTCTTTCTATCCTTCTATCTCAACTGCATGAATCGACTTTCCTGTGTCTAGAACGCGACAGACGGCGAGGCTGGGTCTCTTCAGGTCCAAGGAAAATAACACCAGATTGAAATATTACCTCCAAGAGGGAGGAGGGGGAGTGAACAAAATCACTGTTTTCTTCTTTCTTCTCACATACACTGCTACAGTGTCTTTATGGACAGAAACAAATGACCATATTTTACGCATTTTGTGACTCCTCACTTTTTTTTTTCTCTGACAAAGTAATTGTTGAAAAATGAAACCCAACTTATCAATTAACGTACGATTTTATGGTTCGTTCCTTTAATTGTTTTGAATGATAATTCCATCCATATAGAAATTCTCCATTTTAAAAAATGGTCTCCCAAACGCCATTTTGAATTTAAAAAGTTTGACGAAACTGTAAGCAGCTAGTAAACGAAACCTGACTTTTTTTCCATTGAATTCTGTTGGCCTATCCTCCCCATGTGACTACATAATACCAGACAATTTAATCAAACGATTGTAATTGATATTTATTTCCAAAGACAACACCACTCGTTTGTTGTCATCATCATCAGCACAACTTCATGGACATAAACATATCAAACAAAATGATAAAAGAGTGATGTCTAAAAATATGTATTTTTCTAATCACGTCTTTTGAAATTCTATTTTAACAATTTGCTTTTCTGTTCAATTTTTGCTACATTTTTGTTTCACCAGAACCATTTCTGATATTTGAGGTTCGAATTTTTCAGCTATGCACCGCGATTTTGGACGAGAGCGTCTCTGAGTGGTTTTACACCAACACGAGCCAGTTGTAAACAAACAAAAATGCATTAATCGTTACCGCACCCATCAGGCAACAAAATATTGAACAATCCCCCAGACACACCAAGTCAATTCTTCTGTCGTTTGTTGGTCATTTAAAGAGCCACAGTCTGGCCCATCTGCCCGTATTGTTGCAGTCCGTTTGTTTAAAGATATCACGCTGCGTTTCCGCAACGCCAGCTTTTTGGACTTTGTCTTTGGTGTATTTTTTGTTGTTACGCGCTTACGGTCGATTCAATCGCAGTTTAAGCTTTTAAATATTTCATTAAGACTTTCTGGAGTGAATTCCCCTGGCAGATTTACATATGTGATTTCGTTAGTAACTAGGTTGTGGTTGACAATACTACGACTTAAATGAAGGGACGATATAGTATCATTTCAGTGCCCTTTATGCAATCAATACGGTGACATTTCCCAAACTTTAATACATTTCCCCCCCCCATTTCTTCTGCGGGCATATTGCTCTTTGATCGAACACAAGAGAGCCGGCAGTACACAAAACCTCATTTTGCCGCCTAATCCGTTTACCATGATGGAAGTATTGGGATTCTCGTGATATCAATCAGGTAAATTCAAGTAACTTTCTAATCTTCATTCATCTATGACAAGAGAAAAAGTCCAATGTTTATAGGTCCTTCATTGCATCAAAGTCCTTTTTCCAAGACACAATGAAAAATTGCTGTCCATGTATGTCAGCAAGAGTGCATGTCCCTCGCCCGGGTCTATGTTTCTGTTATAGGCTTCAGCATACACGCCGTTCTCCCCTTTATTTCATCGCAAGGCTAGTGTATACAACGATAACAAAAAAAGGAAAGGACAAAACGAGGCAAACCATATAATTGCCATCTTTTGCCGAGCCCCCCTACAGCCATAGTAAAGTATATTGCTTCTGCTTTACAATCCACCCCCTTGTAAAACTCCTGCCTTTGGAGCGATCTCCCAGTGCTCTGGGGAAATCAGTGCGCAGTGAAGGGCTTTTCAACAAATTGCCCGTAGCCCGGGGAATCTTGGCCGTGGACGGCATGGAACTGATCGAAGGGACGGAGGCGCTGGGGCTGATATTATGTGCACGCCACGAGTCCAGTTACTGTGAGGTGGTCCGCCTACATATCCCTGGCCCAACCCAGAATAAATTCATGAAAACACAAGATGACATTCATGTGAATCTAATGAAATCAAATCAAATTGAAAGTATAAATTCTTCTTGATGTAATAAGCTCATTTGAATCGCATAGATATTAAAACCATGTCTTTTCTTTTATGTTTATTTGTAAAAGAATACCTCACAATTGATTTCAGTGAGAGAGTCAACGATCAAGACACTCTGAGTTTAAGAATAAAAAAGACACAAAAAAAGACACAAGATATTTTGAATTTCCTTCATCCACAGTGATTCTGCAGTTTTCTACTTGTCTTTAAAGTTTCTTTCCTTTATAAAATCGTTTGTAAAGGGAACACCCAACTCTGGATAAACTATTGTCCCTCCTCCCATGATATTTTGTGAGGCTAAGAAAGCAAAGTTCTCACAAGAAAGTGGTCCAAAACCTTGCACCATTAATTTAGGATCTTGATCGCAAAAAAAGACCAAAAAACCCTCCCCCAAATCAAGCCTATTTCCACGGTAATTTCAGTCAGGTTGAAAGGATTGTAGCGTGCGGTGAGTGTAGCAACCTCCAAGGGATAGACACAATGGACTTGGCAAACACGGGGAGGGCAGGGGGCCTTAACAAACTACGACTTTGCCTCTTTTTTCATCACACTAACAGTTGTGTCTTTTCCCCTCGATCCAGACAGGCTGGCAAACCCGGCCCCCTTGCGACCAGCTTTTCTCTCTTTCCTTCTTCTTTTTTCTTTTCGAATGACCTATTTTACTCGGTATCGCCGGCTTGTCGTCGACTTTTTCATATTTTATTTTACTAGACCGGAGCCTTGTTTGGAGGACACAATAACGCCGAGGGAATCTGGGGAAATCTTTTCGTGTTTCTTGAGATGTTTGGGGCATTGCCGATTTCCAAACACCGATTTCGATATCATTCAGACTGTACGGCGCGCGGAGTTTTTTTCCAGTCGAGAACAGCAATTCTTCTTTGTTATGGAAATGTCCATCTATCTAAACTTTACTGAATTTTGTACAATATTGGTGCCATTTTGTTGATTGT